TCAAATCACACATCCATTTGATAAAATCACAATCTGCTTTTATATAACTGGGAAAATAAAACCCAAACAAAACCGCCTCCAAAAACACAGATACCAAATTGATTTTGAGATATTTCACACCCTCCACTATCCACGTACTTTATCAACAGTCCTGTTCATTACTCCATAATTCCTTCCCTAGTGAAATCAAGAGGCAAATTCAGCCTTCCTGTCTGGCCACAAGGCAGGTGTCTCGCAGGGAGCTGGCACTGTGTTCAAGTGCCCCATCAAACTCCCCCACAAGCCGGGTCACAGCCTTTAGGGGTGCTGAAAGCTCAGCTGAAGCTGCTGCAGACCCAGGGCACAACACTTCACACTGGTAAGAGGTGCTGGTTCAGGAGGATGTACCACATAAAAAAATATAGGACCAAGAAATTACTTCTTGACCTCTTAACTTGTTCAAATACATTCATTTTTAGTAGAACATTTCCAGAGGACAGATGCTGCCAAGAGGTCTTACTCTCACAACACAAGTCAATCAGAACTTGAATTCCCAGTTAAACCATTTCTGCTGCTGGTGGGACAGTGGCAGTACAAAAGATCTGAAGGTCATTTGAAAGCAAGGAACACACACACAGCCTCCTGCTTTCTGCTTATCTTCTAACCAAGAGCACTACAGTGAAGGTGAGTCACCAGCACAAAACCAGTGGGTGACTCTTCCAGAAGTGCCTGCATCTAAGTGAAGGTGAGATGGAGGAAACGCAGACTTTGGGCAGACTTTAAAGAACATGATTTTGTCCTTTCCCTGATTAAAAAATTCATTAAAAATAAACCTTGGGGGCTCACCTATGAGAGAAGGAAAGAAGATTCATAACTTCAGTTATGTGAATCCCAGATTTAAAAATACATCTAAGATGAATGATTGGGAATAAAACTTGTTCTGGTGAGGCCTTTTCCTCAGGAATTCCCGTTTGCTGGGAAAGAGGCAAACTGTTATATCAGGGAAGTCAGTCTATTGAAGAGAGCCACTTCCCCAACCAGAGTGTGAAGAATGACATTTAAAAATATTAAATTTTAATCATTTATATCATTAATCATATATATAATCACTAAATCATTTATATTTTACCATTTTATGATGCAATCATGAATTAGCTTTTTCCGTATTTCTAATGAGAGGATAGAACGGATGGTCAGGGCTTAGTTCAGGGTGTGATAAATCCATTAAGATAACCTACAGAAAGCTGCTGCTATGGCAGATGCTGCCAAATAACTGTTCATTCAATGGTCTGTTCAGGCTTTGGGTACTGGGTGGAAGAACCATCCCACTTCTTCGCTACCTTGAGGTACAAGGGATAGGAAATCACACACAAGATTGTGGAATGTATTATTACTTGTCTATGTGGCTTGAGAAATTTGGATGGTATGATATAGGGGATGCATAGGGCAATCCAGGGAAATAGCATGGAGTTGTTGCTTCCCAATAGCTGCCCCTGCAGATACACATAGCCCATACAGGCCTGTGTGTCTACTTTTAGCTGAACCAATGGCCCAATTGCAGAGTAGAGTCCTCTATCAAGGAGTGATTGCAAAATATCCATTTCACTTTGAATTCATGCCTTCACTTGTTCTGCAAGACACTTCTCAAAACATTTAGGATCCTAGAATAATTTATGCTGGACTGGACCTAGGGAGGGCATTTGGTCTAATCCAACTCAAAGCATTTGTCACAGTGGACCAAACCTGTAGGTCCCTTCCAACTGGAACTATTCCATCTTGTTCTGTTCAAATTCCACCCTTAGACTCCTGCAGAAGGCTCATGCTTAAGCTAGTCCACCTATTTTTTTCTAAAAATAAAGGTCAGAATAATCAAGTATCCTATAGCTTATAATTAGCAAAAAAATATATTAAACCATAAAGCAAGCAAAGCAAGAAGTTGTTTGTTATTTCTGATGACGTCTTTGCCTGAATCACATCAGACTACTCTATAAATGAATCTAAGCAGAATCCATGGGTCTGCTTCAGGGAGGTCCAGAGCTGTGTTTAGTCTCTCTGTGCCTCTGGAAACCAGCAATAACCTTTTCTGAGGTCTTTTGACACTTTAAATGTTGCTGAAATCCCTCTCCATCATTGGAATTCAGCACCAGAGCATTACCACATATCTTTGGATAGCATTTGCATGTGAAAACAGTATCTTCACACACCAAGAGCTCAGAGTTTTCATCACACCTGAGTGGCTAGGAACTGGCTGTGGAGTTGTATCAAGTCTATTAGAGGAGAGGGAAAACTCTGCTGAGGAAGAATGCGGAGTTCCTGCGATATCTCCTACAAAAGAATTAAGGATTCTGTGGGGGAAAAGGGAGCCCACCACAGATACGACCTACCCCCGCAGGGCTCATGCCAGTCCCCTGTTCTTCACTCCCCAGGGACCTGGGCACACAGTACCACTACACAGGACAGATCCAAGATAAATTCTTGCATGTTGAGTTCCCATGTGTTTCAATGGGAACATCTCATGGGAGGGGACATACATTAGGTATGATAAAGTGAGCAGAAGAAAACTGATTGCATACAAATGCATACAAAATAAAAACACCACAGTTTCAGTGTTTTCTTCCATAGGTAGTAATGTCGAGGGGCTTTATTAACAAAAGCTGCGTAAGCAGAGGTCTGAATTTGAGGAGGGTTCATCTGACTTCTTCACTTCACTGCTTCCTGGCTGACTGCTCAGTATCTGCCAGCGTAGGCATTACGTGATGCTCTGCTTGTCCCCAAAGCCATCAGTCAAGACAGAGCCTGGGCTGGGAAGTGGTTAGAGTCCGAATAAATATTAGCAGGATAGTCTGGACCGTGCCTGCTTCCCTCCTACTCTCGCTTTCACCCTCCCACACACACACTGCTGCTGCTGCCTCAGCACAGAGTAACACTACAGAAGGTGCTGAGGAGCTTCTCCCCCATCTACACACATCTAATAGGACATTGTGTGACCCCTCCCTGGATGCAGCTTGTGTATGCCCTGGAGTCGGGTGACATTTTTAACAATAAACCTGCTGAATTACAATTCAGGGAGAATTTACTTGAAAATTTACATAATGTAGCTAGGGGAGACTTTTAACTGCTTCCCCTTGTGCATAAGGGGAAAAAAAAAAAAAAGGAGGAAAATTAAGTAACAGCCTAATTGGCTTTTATAACAGTCTATGGGGAGAAATGCAGGCCGGATGTCTGCCTAGCTACACAGCTTGGTATGTGCTGTAACTATGGGAGGCTATATTACAGGCATGACAGGACAATGATTTGGTTTTCAGGACCAAAGATCTGAAAAATTAAATACCTCCAGCCAGGGGGGTTGTTTACCACTTGAGGAAGGCCTGTCATGCTAGTTTGGATGAATGCAGGTCAGGTTTCTGCTGGAAGGAAAAACGGAGGATCTGCTTTGCCAGTGCACCACCTCAAATGGGGATCATGGCTGCTGGGATGAATGGGATCTGCCTCTTCCACCACCACCCTCATTTTAATCAAGGCGTGGTTTGCAATGAACTGGGTAACTGAGGGGATGATGAAGCTTGGGCTGATGGGCCTGATGCCTTCTGCTCCTTCTGCTCCCACTGCTCCCCTAGGTGCATGGCCCAGGTGCCTGCTCCCCTTCTCCACAGCCCAAGGAAAATGGCACAGCAACAGGCCTGTGTTGGTTCCGTTCCCACTGCCTCAAAAGTGCTGCATTTTAGGATGGTACCCTTAACAGCCACAAGGAAGATATTGACAGTTCATTTTTTATTTAATTTTGTCTTTAAAAAAATCACCAGTTAAATCAATGCCAATTACATGAAAACAGGCAAGTTTCAGGACTAATCACTTTCTCTCACCTTCCTCCATTTCCCAGATACTTCAGGGAGAACTCCATTGATTACCTGTCCTCCTCAGCAGCAAACACAACTTGAGATCAAGACCAGGAATGTGAGGGAAATGCCCCTTTTCCAGAGTTGAACTGGAGACAGAGTGACACCATCGCCTGCCACCACTTTCCAGACCTAAGCCATTTGCCAGAACTGGGGGAGTGTCAGACTGGCTCTTTCCAAAGGCCCTCTAAAATGTACCAGTTCCCTCCTAATGCGTGGCTAAATGACTGATATAAGATGCCACAGGGGTGAGCAAGAAGTGGTTTGAAAAGACCTTTGATCGTTACTTCCCCAAATGGCGGAACATGGCAAAATGTTGTCCCTCTGCCACAGCACGGATGCTGCCCCCTGCGTGCACCAAGAGCCCCGGCAAAGCCCTCTCCTCCCTGCCCAGCAGCACTCCTCTCCTAACATCCTGAGGACTCACAGTCATCACATCTCCAGGATTTTTCTCAAGGTACTCTGGCTTCACTCCACAGTGTCTTATTACACAGGACAAAACCATAAATCCAGTGTATGCCCCCTCTCCCCTCTACTGCAGCAGGTAGTGAATGCAACCATCTACGAGCCTTGCTGATATCCATCTTTTGTGCAATACTTCGTGGATCCAAGCAGAGGGAGTAATTAGAGCCATGGTACTGATCATATGCTGTGCTTCATGTCCTCAGCTCCCTTTGAACTCACTGTCTTACACATAAGGATGGTTCAATAAATGTGTATATAAAGGACTGATCACACAACACTTATTTTTTTAGCTTTGATTTCAGAATTAGGCTGGAAGAACTAGACTAGAAAGAAAGCAATTTTCTATTAAACACCGTTATTAGTTTTGTTATCCAATGCAATCAAAACATTTCCTTCAGGAATGATGAACCAAATCAGAAATGGAACTACTGGGGAAAAAAAGCAGACAATAGCATTAAGGCTTAACCTGGAAAGCTAACTTGTGTTTAGGTTTACCTTTTAAGGACAGGAGGCCAAACTAAAATACATGTCCTACTACAGGTATATTTATAGACCAAGTCAAAGCAGCTGTGACTGCAAATCGCACCTGCTAACAAGTACCCCTCAGACAGCAGAGCACCTTCGCCATCCCTCGATCAGCGAGAGCAATGCCTGTAACGTGCACCCACACAGCAAGAGCACTTTGGCATGCAAGCACCTGACTTGTTCTCCTTAAAAACAACCTGCAATGGCTGCAAGCAAACGTCTCAGCAGGATTTTGTTATATTTATGGCTGTAGCGATTGTTGATTTTTTAAGCTGATCTCTTTGCCTCTCAGTAAGAAGCGATCGAAACCTTTACCTGCAAATGCTGCATCGGCATTTAAGCGAATTCTTTACTCATTGCTTTTATAAGGTCTGACAGCTCAGGCTGAGCGCACGGATCAGACGCGCCCGGCGCATTGCCCGGTCCCGCCCCCCGGACATGGCGGCGCGGCTGCCCCTGAGGGTGCTCGGAACCTGCGGCCTCCGCCTCGTCCTGCTCCGCTCCGGCGGCTGCGCCCGCGCTGCCCACAGGGGCACAGGTACCCCCGGGGCACGGGTGCCACAGGGGCACGGGTACCCCCCACAGGGACCCACAGGGGCACAGGTACCCCCGGGGCACGGGTACCCTCCACAGGGACCCACAGGGGTACGGGTACCCACAGGGGCACGGATATCCGCAGGGGCACGGGTACCCCCGGAGCATGGGTATCCACAGGGGCACAGGTACCCTCAGAGCACGGGTATCTACAGGGGCACAGGTACCCCCCACAGGGACCCACAGGGGCACGGGTACCCCTGGAGCACGGGTATCCACAGGGGCACAGGTACCCCAGGAGCATGGGTACCCACAGGGGCACGGGTACCCCCCACAGGGACCCACAGGGGCACGGGTACCCAGAGGCACAGGTAATCCCCCGCCTGGAGCTTGGGAATGGGGGGAAGGAGCAGGAGCTGCCCTCCAAGGGGAGGGCATCCCCGTCCTCGGTGTCTTCTGGCCGGTTAGCATGCTGTAGGTTTTCCTCTTGAACTGGCCGGCTAAACTCTAGGGTTTTTGGTTAAACTATAATTTTCAAATTCACACACACACACCCCACCCCGCCAAATCTCACCCCTGCATTGCAAGAGATGAGCGCATGCAAGCATCCTCAGGAGCTGATTGGTTTTCAGAGATCCTGTGATGATGGGAGATAGGCGGGGAAGTAGTTCCCCACCTCAGACTTTTTGATTAGGAAGGTATTAATCTATTTTACTCGCTGTTTTTCAGCCAATCTATTAATTCTTTGCCAATTCCATACCACCATAAATGTTCTACATGGTGTGTACAGACTCACAGGAGGCGTTGTTGGAGTTTTGCGCTATAGTGGGTGACTTCTTCCCTCCTGTTGTGTGTCCCTCACTTAACTACAGCCCCTTTCTCTTGGTCTCTAGGTGTTTCTTTCTTCCAGTGTTCCTTCTTAGCACTGCTTTTCATTGGGGCCTGTGAAAGTTGCTGGTCTTCAACGGCTCATAGATGAACATTAGTTCTGGTTTCTGAGGGTTTCCAAGAGACAAACTCCAAAGCTTTTAGTGATACCCAGGGATGAGGAAGGAGCAGGAGCACTGCATGAGCAGTTATCCCAAGCCAGAATAGAGGGTTGTGCAGGGAGAGTGGGAGGTATTTTGGGTCATAGGTGCCTGTTTCTATTATAAGCCTTCCCAAGTGTTTTGCTGGAGCTGCTCTCTGGATGTAGCACGTCAAATGGAAAGCAGATGCAACATCCTGCATTCCCCCCTGCTCATGTCCCTGAATTGCTTGCTGTGCTCTGTCTGTACCCATAGAAACTTGGGGAGAACTAAGATGATGATGGAAAGCATCAACGCAGTCTAAGTTAAAATGGTGTTGAAAATAATACAAATTATCTTTCTGCATCTAATTGAAGACAAAGGGTCTCTGACTAAACAAGCTGAAGCAAGTGCTGCTACAGACTGGAAAAAGAAATTGACTCCGGAGCAATTCTATGTTACAAGACAAAAGGGAACTGAACCGGTAAGCAAAGGCACTAATGCTGTCCAAGGGTAAACAACCTCCTCAGCCTGCTGGGCTGAGAAAAACCTGCTTTGGGGAGCTGTGACCACTCAGTTGCTTCACAGGATTTCCCCTGCCTTCCTGTTGATGAAAGTTAGGCTCAATATACTGAATGAGGTGGATTTTGTTCTGACACAGACTGGTTTGAAGATGAAAAAGCATTCTGCATTCTTTTCATATTTTATTGGGTTTTTTCCTGGGATACTTTGCTGCCAGCTCAGCAGTCTGTGTGGCAGTTGTGGAGGCCTCTCCAGAGGGGAGGGAAATTGTATTTTTGTCCTGTAGTCTCCTTTTTTTGACCATATATAGATTAGCCATAGAAATATTATACATAGCACTCCATTCAAGAGATGGGTTATCCCTCGTGCCAGATCACCCACCTACCTTGTCCCCATACTTTGTTTCCTTCTGTGATGGAGGCCATGTAGTGATGTGGATGGAGCACTGGCATCCACAGCCCAGAGCCAGGACTTCTGCATGCATGGAGCATGTACCATGGGATTAAATCAGTTAACTGCCCAAATTCATATCTGTAAAATAAGGATCTGAGTTCCAGACCATGCAGGAAGGAGGAGAGTCCCTTTGTAGAGCCACTTTAAAGTTGTGGCACTCCATAGCAGAGCCATGGTCTTTGGGATCCTGCACATTTCACCAGTTCCTCGGAGGTCACGACTCCATCCCTGGTACCTGGATGATTTATGCATCTGACTGGTCTCAAGGTTTCCGGGGGTAGGGGGTAGTCTTTCTTCACTATTAATCCAAAGGCATCCTCCCCTTCATTTCTTTGGGCTGGTAATGTTTGTTCTTCAAAGCCCCCCTGTGAAGCCTTCTTTTTATGGTTTTTCTCCTGTTTTGAATCTGATTCCTACATGCTTGTTCCAGATGGTGAGCTTTCAAAGACCTGCATTATTAACTTCTCTTTTTTCCTTCCTTTTAAAAAGCCATTTAGTGGGATCTATCTGAATAACACAGAATCGGGAATATACTACTGCGTGTGCTGCAATGCCCCACTCTTCAGGTAACATCCTTAGGATTTCAAAGTGTCTTTAACAAGCCCTAATTGTGGCAGGAAGGGCAGTGTCTTTTCATGAGCAGAAGTGAAAAGGAGGAGGAATGGAAAGAAGGACAGTCCCTACGTATAAGACCTCCAGGATACCTGTGTTGATACAAACACATGGTACGCCTTTTCTTGAGCTTGTGAGGTCTCCAGTGGCCAGCAGACAGTTGCTACATTATGGTCTGTCTGTTTCTCCTGCCACACACTGTTCTTTTGGGTTGATAATAATTCTCTGTCTAAGAGGTCCTTAAACCACAGGCTGCCACAAATTATGTGTATTTGTGCATTACTATCACTGTGTGTGCTCCTCCAAAGTCATCTTTACCACTCATGCTGCTGGGCTACGGAGACCTTTGGTCTGCCTTTGTCTCGCTGTTGTGATGGTCTTATTGCTGGGTCCCTCACACTGAAGCTAAGACCCCCACCCCCAACTTGTTCCTTAATTGCATTCCACTATTCCTACTTTTTTGCTTACATCTACTTTTTAAAACCTGACTGCAAATGACTGTGCTGTTAACCCTGGTGCTCTTTACAATACTATATATTTTGCAACTTCATTAACATCTAAGTAAAAGGAAATAGAGTGCCTTGGAGTAGGATGTGCAGTAGGTGTTCTGTTCTCTGTAACTGAACCAGAAAAGACAGTTTCTTTTGGTTTTGTTCTAGAAAATAACCCTTTTTTATTATTATTCCCAATTCAATGAAATGCGGCTGATATGCCCATGTTTATGAAGACTTTAAAGGATGCATTGCAAATCAGAGCTTCAGATGGGAAGCTGAGGAACAAGAGATCTGGATAGTAAGAAAGGAGGGGAAAATGTAGTGGCTGTATTGAAAGTAAACCTAAACTAAGCAATTAAATGGTAAAAATGGAGGCTGATCATTTTGAATGATTAATTTTTCTTTGGAGTATAGAAAACTGTTGTTACGCAAATATGCATTTGCTTAAATGTATCTTTTTCTGTAGAGGTTTGCTAATAAACACTTTTAAATAAATTTATTTCCAAAGTGCCAGCATTACAAAATATTCTGAAGACAAATACAAAACCTAATAATACCTCTGGGAAATTCAGATAAATTAGAGAAATTTTGAATTACTAAGCAGTGGAAGAGTTCCTTCAATTCCTTTAAATTTTCCTTCAATTTCAGCATCTTTTATATTAGACAGTAGATATTGACAGATCAACATGAAGAGAGAAGCACTGGAGGGAATTGCTTCTGCTGCTAAACTAGTAACAAAATGACAATATAACCAGTCAGGCTGCTTTTTGCACTATCCAGCTCTCAGAGAATATAAGTACTTTTGTTTAAAGCACAAGATAATGCTGAGCCTCACAGACAAAAAAAATAAACTATCAGAAAAAGAGCCTTGTAAGAATATTTGAAATTATTAAATGTGCAAAATGGTCCAAAAATATGTTTTCCACTGATGTATTATGTTGTGGAGAACACTAAAAATGAGGGGGGGAAATGGTATTGGATAAGAGATTCATTCATCATATTTATTTCCTAATCCATTTAAAATGTCCTTTCTTTTTCAAATGCATTAGATCATTAGGTACAGGTAAACATGAAGTATTTCTTCCTTTTTTTGAAACATGTTTGTATACATTTATACCAGAATTTATTACCTTCTGCTACCAAATATTCGTTTGAAAGAGTTGGAAATACACGGAACAAGCCCCTAACCTTTATAGATAGCAAATTGTGGTGCTTTAATTAAATCTCAAACCTTCATCAAACCATAAACCTACAGCTGAGATTCATACAGCAAAAAGCACTTTTTAGAATTATCTGGATTCCATCCAGGATGACTGAAATAGGGATCAAAGTAAATGACATGTGCTGGAGGAATGGCGTGTCGAAGGCTAATCTAATGCATATGTTTAGGGAAAGTCCATTTATCCATAAATTAAGTGGTGAAATACTTCAAAGGACAAATATTATCTTGAACAGCAATATTTTTGGGTACTAAAATGTTTCTATTAGGGAATCTAAGTGATATTACTGTTAATAAAACCACACAGAGGCCATTTCTGTTGAGAGCTAATTTAACAGCTCAAAGGATTGTTCCTGTAGCAGTGGAAAACATCTACAATAAACTTAAATATTGTGAGTGACATGTAAGGGACAGAGTCAGTCAGGGTCAGATGCAAAACCCACATAGCGTTAAAGACCTTCCGTGACTCTATGGGGTTTTAGAGAGGATCTTTGTATCTATGTATGAATAAACATAAGGACTCCTGTGTCAAAAAATAGAGTTCTAATAAAAAGGAATCAAAACAGATATATGTCAGGGAAACTCAGAAGTCGTGTACAGATATGTGGTCCTCCAGGTTATTCTTGGGGACTCGGTGGCTGGCAGGCACAGTGTTAATGTGTTTTTGTAGCAGGGAAAGCAGGCAGCCCTCTTTGGTTGGAAAGAAATAGTGCTGGAGCCCTAAGGACCTTCACATACAAAGGCAGAGTCCACAAACTACATTTGCTTCAGTGCAGCCTTCTTCTGTACTGTGTCCTGTTTCTCTCCAGTTTTATGGAGAGGAGGAGGAGGAGGAGGAGGAAGGAGAGCATTTCTTATGGGTATTTGTGCATTGATGTAAAGGACTAAGCAACAGCCCTCATGAAAACTAGCCTTTGGTCATTCTGTGCTTGCAAATCCTCTTTTATTTCCAGAGTTGCATTACTCAAAGACAACGCTGTACAGATGATTATAAAACTCATGCTGACGCACACACTGTTCTTTGGGTTGGATGTTTTAAGCTTTTTGCCTAGCTTGTTAGTCTTGTCTTTTTAAAAGGCACTGCAATCTATTTTTAGTTTTTTATTCACTGTATTAATATCCCACCAAAATATACGATATGCACTACATACTTTGTTTTAAATCCTGTCTTAAATAACGGACTAATCCCTTTGACCAAGAGCTGTTACTGGTGTTGATGTCTCCATCCACCACTAGATGCCAGTAAGAGCATTGAGTTTGTGAAACTGGGAAAAAACTTGAGAAATCGAGAGGAAATGGTCGAGGTGAGTCTCCAGCCCACTTATCTGAGAAGTATGTGAATCTATCTTCCTTTCTTGTTCTAGCTCACTCTATAGAGGTCCCTCTTTAATAGGAGAAAGTCCATATTGCTATTAAAGCTTGCTCAGTTTTAAATAGGAGGGATTATCTCATTTCTGTACTAAATCCCAAAAATATTTTCTGATCGTGTTTTCCAATACACTTTAGGTTTTAACATGCAGCTAAACAGTGTTGGTCATCCTAGATGTTAACAGGAGGCAATCCACAAGTTGACAGTGTGTAATACTGTTTCTGATTACTGCAATTATCTCTTGGGAAAAGTAGATCTTTGTGCTGTGAAGATTTCTCATGGGTTGATTGATGGTTTGAGCAAGGCTCTGTTTGATTTTCAAAACTAGCTTGATGGCTGACTGCCAGACAAAGCCATCAATATCAGGTGTGAACCTGGTCTGGTGGGCCAACCCAACCATTGTCCATTCTTCGTTTCTCCTTGTAAACTTTCTGAGATTGTGCTGTATTGGGCCAGGCTTTGAACTGCAGCTTAGTAGGTGTAATTCAGCTAAACACCATGCTCAGTTGTTGGGAAAACCCTTTTCCAAGCTTTATGAAATGCCAACCTGTCATTGAAATAGAAACAGTGAGGCAGAATCTCCTGCTGTGGGCTGATTGAGAATTCCCTTTGGAAAAGAGTTTCCAGCACAGTCTGATGCCAGTGAGAAAACTTCTACTGTGCAAATATTATTAATAGTGGTACAAGACAGGAATGAGGAGAAAAGCCAATGTTCTTAATAGAACCAGACTTTTTTGTAACATCTCAGTTATTAATTAACAAGAAAATCTGGTTTCCTCTGTAGCTCAGAAAAGAAGTACAATTCTGGGAGTGGATGGCCATCGTTTTCTGAGGCTTATGGTACTTGTGGCAGAGATGAAAGTAATACCAATATCATGAGACGACCAGATAACTCATTGGGATTAGCTAGAACTGAAGTTGTCTGCAAACAGGTATGTTTATTTTGAAAACAATATGCAAAGACACAGATCTTAACAAATATGTTTTCTTTGTGCCCATGAAGGAATCTATCTCAATACAACAGTGAGAATTACAGTATCACTGGAACCATTCTGTCTGACTTCTTGGCATGAAACATGAGTAGAGTATCAAATATAGGCAGTCAGTTTGGTGGGAAGAAAAGTATGTGACTGGGGAATGTAGTTGTGCAAGTATAGCCAAGGCCTGAAAATTTAGACAGAAAATTTACTGAAAGGACCTCAGGTGCAATGCAGGGTGTGACAAGAGACGGTAGAAGAGACTCTGTGATAGGGACCGTGCATTTGGCTCATCACAGGGACAGTTACTCCTAGTTCAGCTGCAAAATATTTGCTGAAGATGTTCTTAAAATATGCAGAGACGGACATAACACAGCCTTACTAGGTAGTGAGTTGTAACCTGTGTATCTTCCTACTGTTGGTTCGACATTGGGGAAAATACTGTTTGCAGCTGTTGAAGCTTATTACTCTTTGCCCTGCATGGTGGTGGCTGTGCCCTGCATCTCCACAGCTATTTTCTGTGGATTCTCATGGTTCACAGAAGCCACCTTCTATTTTTGATAGGTGTTTTGACTCCCTCAATCATCTCTTTTCTAGACTAGAAAGGTTCAGTTCCTTCAAATGTTTCTTTTTATGCAGTGTTTTTTAGTGTACTGATCGTCCTGTTGCTCTCTTTTGCATTTTTTCCAATTGACCGTTTTCCTTCTCCAAGTACAGTGCAAAGCTGGACATAGTGCTGCAGCTGGGCCCAGCCTGCATCAGAGGTTGGGGGCTGTTCAGGTGTTTTGTAAATGGTGTTCCTGTCCTTACACCTTTACCTTTCCACAGCCCATGACACACACTTGTTTCGGGACATGCTGCAAAACCCAGGTCCTTTCCTAAAGAACTGCCACCCCTAACCATTTCTTCCCAGCTCTGAACCTGTTTATTATTTTTGTTAAGGTATAAAAGTATGCAATTGAGACTGATGAATTGCATCTTGGATTTGGTTTTTTATTGTCTGTGTGTGTCTTTTTTTCTTAAACTGTTAAGATTTTTAATGCTGTCCTTCAGTGTGCCTGCAGCCCTTCTAGCAGGATTAGGTACATCTGCAAACGTAACAAGCATTTGCTGCAGTCCGTTATCTTGGTAGAGTTCAGGTTTGCAGCAATATGCAGCAAGCATCTTTCAAGAACTCCCATCTGAAGACAACCTTCCAATTTTATAATGAGCCACTGATAGCTATACTGAGTCTAATTTTTTTACATCAGTTATTTGGAGGAGGGAGAATCCTCAGTTAATCTATGAGAAGGACCTACAGTGACTGTCCTAAATGAAATTTTCATAATATATTGAGAAGTCTAGATACTTCCATTTATTTCCTTTATACTTTCTGGCACTAATACCTTTTTGACTTCCTCTTCTGGGATCTGCTTGTTTGGGAGGCAGGTATTTGCCTGCTGGCCAGAGGTGATTACTTTCTTAATTCAGGATAGCACAGTAGGTACCATCATAATGGTAGTCCATAATTAAAGTGGTAATAATGCAATAATAATGGTTTCCAGTCACCAGGGGTGTTCCCCAGGGCTCAGTATTGGGTCCAGTCCTGTTTAGTGTCTTTAGTGATGATCTGGACAAGGGGATCAAGAGTATCCTCAGTAAATTCACAGACGACAGCAAGTTGGGTAGGACTGTTGATCTACTGGAAGGTAGGAGGGCTCTGAGGAGAGATCTGGACAGGCTGGATCAATGGGAAGAGGCCAATGTTACAAGGTTCAACAAGGCCAAGTGCTGGATTCTGCCCTTGGGATCACAACAACCCTGTGCAACTCTACAGGCTGGGGGAAGAGTGGCTGGAAAGCTGCCCAGCAGAAAAGCACCTGGGGGTGCTGGTCAACAGCAGCTGAACATGAGCCAGCAGTGCTCAGGTGGCCAAGAAGGCCAGTGGCATCCTGGCCTGTATCAGCAATAGTGTGGCCAGCAGGAGTGGGAAAGTGATTCTTCCCCCTGTACTTGGCACTAGTGAGGCTGCACCTCCAGTACCATTTTCAGTTTTGGGCCCCTCAGTTCAGGAAGGGCATTGAGGTGCTGGGGCGAGTACAGAGAAGGGCAGCGAAGCTGGTGATGGGCCTAGAGGGCAACTCCTATGAGGATCAGCTGAGGGAGCTGGGGGTGTTCAGCCTGGAGAAAAGGAGACTCAGGGATGACCTTATCGCTCTCTACAGCTGCCTGAAAGGAGAGTGTAGCCAGGTGGGGTTCGGTCTCTTCTCCCAGGCAACTAGCAATAGGACAAGAGGACATAACCTCAAGCTGCACCAGGGGAGGTTCAGGCTGGACATCAGGGGGAATTTCTTCACGAAAAGGATTGTTAATCACTGGAGTGGGCTGCCCAAGGAGGTGGTAGAATCACCATTGCTGGAAGTGTTCAAGAAATGACTGGATGCAGCACTGAGTGCCGTGGTCTAGTTGACAAGATGGTGATCAGTCAAACGTTGTACTCTGATCTGAGAGGTCTTTTCCAACATAATTGATTCTGTGATTCTGTAATAATGCAATAATAACATGGTAATAATTTCTGTTGCAGTGTGACGCCCATCTAGGCCATGTGTTTGATGATGGTCCCACACCTTCTGGGCAGAGGTTCTGTATCAACAGTGTTTCATTAAACTTCAAACCAGGCTCTGGTCAGTGAGAAGTGGATCTCTGTGGCTTACAGAATGTCCTTTCTCTGCTTGTACAGCATGCTTGTGAAAAATTCTCATGCTTTTAATATATAACCCAAATTTTAGTACTTAAGCCATAGTAGCTTTGTTTTCCAGCTATTATCTTTGTTAATAAAATACATATTTTTGTCATAACTCTTTTGCGGTCTGTCTTTTCATGGTTAGTGCGATGTTTTGATCTGCTTATTGTATTTTTTCATTAAAAAAATCTGTGCAATATTTCACTTTAATAACTATCATTATTAACTCTATTGAGGCTGCTGAAATGATGTGCTCTCCTGAAACTGACTGTCTATTCTGACCAGTAATTGTGGCACCCAGGAACACAACTGATGTTGAAAATGGCTGATCATGCCACAGCTTATACTTCTGTAAAATCATCATATCTTTCTAAAGAGAAGCAAAAATAATATGAATCTTCAAATAAGGTTTGGGGGGTTTTTTTTCCCCCTAATGTGAGAGACCTTTAGCCAAGCCAAGTGACTTTTCCATGAACCCACGAAAGCAAAGTGCTGAAGGAGGGCCTAATTAAAACTATTCCAGGCAATGGAACCAGTGGAGACACTGAGTCTTTCTTCTTTAAAATCAATTATTTTGATTCTGTGTCCAATAGCAGAGCTGAAATAGGGTTTACTCCAGGAACTTTGTCTTGCAGCAATAATATGATAATAATGTAATGATATGTGTAGTATTTCCAGACTTCTGTTATCACTTATGTATTTCAGAATCCAAAAATAAAAATGAATGTGAAATTTACTGTATTTGGGGAAAATAAGTCGGCATCAAAAAACAGGTTCAGTAAAATTATGCTTTTGCTGAAAACATGCCTTATCTGTTCTTCCTTGTACAAGTTTGTAAATACTTCTGTATTCTCCCAAGCACTGTCATTATGGTTTGCTCTAACAGAAAAATAAATCCTATTTTTGTTAAATTGAGCTTTCCTGCTTTCAGATTTTTTTTCCAGAGAAAATAATCTCTGAGTCAGAACATCAGCTTCACTAAACTGGCTGGGTTTAAATGCTTCCCTGCTGAGAGTTACTAGGCAACATCTCATTTGGCTTTACCTATAACAGACTGTTTCCATTCTCCCCACTTTGGTTGCCTCAGTAATAAAAAGGATGTGTTCATTTACTAGTGTAGTCTTAAATCTTTTCAACGGACCTCTATTGCACTGAATTTACTTTTAGTCCTTCTGTCTTGGAGCTCTGCAGTTTTCCATTCTCCTGTACTTTCTACAGGAGAACTTTACAATTCTGTAGCTTTTAAAAACATCAGAGACAGTGATTGCTACAGCCAACCTACACCAGAATGGCACAAAGGCCACCAGACGTGTGAAGCAGCTTGAATAAAGCAGACACTGCTGCTGGTTTTATGTAGTGTCGTAGACAGTGAAAGTCGCATTGTCATCAGAGGTGTCTGTTAACAGCAACAGCATGGTGCTTGCTGTGCCTGTGCTGCACTGTGCTCTGCCACGCACAGGTGCCCTTGAATCACCTCCTGCTGTCCCCTGCCTGCTCTGACCAGGCCGTACATGCCCACTCTGCTCTCAAGTGTCTTCACAGGTTGTACAGAAATCAGCATCTTCACATGCTCTGAATTCATGTGCCCTCCTGTCCTGATATACTTTCATCTGCTATTTGGTTTTCCTAAAATCTATTGCAAAGCTACTGGAAAGGATATTTGACATTTAAAGGCATTCTTTAGTCAGGCAGCCCTCTTCTTGCCTTTTCCAAAAGGACAGGGTTCTCTCAGAAAGGAGGAAGGTGTTCCCAACTGTACTCCTGTGTTCAGCCAAGTGCTGGTGGAGAAGCTGGGACTTGCCTTAGTACAGTGACTTTTGGTGGGAGACCAGATGGAAATACTCCGCATTTCTGCAAATGGCAGAAAGTAGAAGAGAGCTGGCAAAATATCTGATTTTTTCCTATCCCCAGAGATACCAGGTCTCACAACACCTTTTATGGATGAGAGTACCACACAAAATAGACCATGAAGCTGACAAAACCAGTGTCCACACAGACATGTGCAAACCATGCTCAGTTTGGTACCTTGGATATACATGGTTGGTGGAGATCCACTCTTAGTGAACGGGCAAGTTAATAGCTACTATTGACAGAGGAATCTTGCCTGGAGAGAGCACATTTGTTTTACACCTATAAACATAATTGTATGCAACTGGATGTTTGGGATCAGGAGCAGCTGGTGCCTCCTCACTCATATGGCAGGATTACCTGAAGAAAGAGTCCTGTAAGACTCCAGTTTAGCTTGTGCAATATTACAGATACATAATCGTATGAACAGACCCATGTTTTCAAGAACAGCACTTGACCTGCACTACACTGATATGTCGCCAAGAAAACACAATAAAGCCCCTGAGAAACTAGGCACTGAGCTAAGCAACCTTGTTCTGCTCCAAATGAAACAGGGAAAAAGGAGAAAGTTTGTCTTTGACCATGTGTATCATCAAGAGTAATGGCACATCACCTTTAAACTGCTGGACATTCAGGGCCTCTGACGAAAACTTTGGGGCAGTGTACTTCATTATCTTCTGTATCTGTGGTACCAACCACACCAGGACAGATCCCAACTAAAGGCCCAAAGTGTTTTAAGATCATGAATAATGAAGACCGATAATAATGGAAGACACCGTTAAAGAGTATCATAGGCTACAAGAATTTCCTCATGTATCTGCAATGACTTTGTTCCACCGTAGGGAGTAATGAGCAGTTGCCTCTCTGAGCTGAATATACTCTGCCAGGCAACTGCAGGTTTATATTCCACCCTTCACATCTGAGAAGTTTTTCAACATGATTATTTCATTAATTAGTTTCAGTTATGATACTTTTTATCCCCTTGTGTTTTTAAATAACCCTTTTATAAATCCTAATTGAGATTTCTACATAATTCTTAAGAGATTTTAACATCTTAAATAAACTATTTGAAAACTTTCTTAATCTTTACAGCATGTCTACCAGGCAAGTAACTATTCTCAATTTTACTGAGAGAAAATTTGATGAGAAGAATTTAATTGACTTGCTCAAGACTTCAAATTAAATTTGCAGCCAAACCAGAATAAGAATTTGCATGGCTCATAACAGTATCCATATCTTCAGACCCTGCTTTTCCTGAAAGTTGTTTTGGTACTTGATCGTTTTGGAGGGTGAGAGTGTAAATTATCAAAAGAGAGGAGGTAAACTTACCATATGTTTTTCCAGCTATGGTATTAAAACCGAAGCTAAGCCAACTTGGGCAACTTTGACTCATAAAGAACAACACTTGACCTCCTTCTCAGAGGGAAGATGATAAGGGCTTGGTTAGAAAGTAGAGAAAAGAAAGAAAGAAAATAGGAAAGAATGAGGAGGTTACTTTTATATTACTAGAAACTTCACTCTCCTTCCACCAGAAATCATAATGGCCATTATTTTAGCCGTGTACACAGAACTGTAGTGATGCTCTTTTCTGTTACACCATGCTGCAAATAATTTGGATTCTCTTTTAAGCTTGTGGACAGCCTAGTCTGATTTTAATCAGAACAAGAGAAGAAGGGATACTTTTCTCAGATCAAAAATAGGATTTTTGCCACACTTGAACATGTCCAGCATGAGGTGGTTCAGAGGCAGCCTGCATGAGAAGGAACTGAAAAACTCTCAGCTTAGGTTTTGCTTTTTTTCCTGACTATTTTGCTAGTACTCCTAAGGACGTTTGTATTTTCTAGTCTTAAACCTTGGAAATAGGTCCTGTCACTGCACAACTCAACTGTCTCCTCTCCCATTCACTTAATGACTTTTTGCACTGGGCAGCAAAGTGTTTTAAACCATACTGCTGTGCCTGTCCCACCTCCTGCAACACCCAAGTGAGGGTAACACGACCCTCACCGCAAGTCATGTACTGCTCAGTCACCCTCATGGATTTCACAGCTCTTCACACACAAGTGATGCCTAGCCCCAGCCCTCTGAGGCAGTGGTGAGCCACATGTCACAGAACAGGAAGCTGAGGGACAGCTGTGGGAAGTGACTCGCCCACAGTCCCCTGGGGCAGGACAGGGAAATCTGATTAAAGAAAGGGTTCTCAGAAGCTCTCCAAGTGTGAGCTGCTGCCAAAATTCACAAAGGAAGCAGTTTAGAAGCAAAGCTCTTTATTGAAGAAGTGCCCAGATTTTTTCAAGAGTAAAAGAATTTGTCTCAAGGCAGGTGTGTCCATGAGGGCTGGTTTTTGTAGCACTGAGGAATTTGCGTGGAAGAGATTGGCAGCTTGCCATGGGGCAGAAGAAAGAGAAATTCATGCCCATTATTGTGCTCCCTTTTACTGTCTTCTCTTTTGTTGTGTTTTTGTGATTTTGTTTTGGTTTTTTATTGGGTTTTTTCCCATTGCTCTGTGGTATCCTTCCTCTCTCCTCAGAAATCCCTTTGTAATATCCCCTGGTCTCTGGCTTTCTTGACTGCAGTCGCCCTCACCATGTTCCACACCCTCCTAATTCCACACTCAGTTCTCTCTCCTTGGTGCCAGAGAGATGAGCAAGCATGCAGTCCTGCACCCACGTCTGCAGCTCCCTGCTCGTGCTGGAAGTGACTGCGGGGATCTGGCCTGCAGGCTCTGGGAAGGTTGGCAGAGCAGACATTGGCCGTGCTCATCCTGCTCGCCTGCTTTGCACACACAGTTTGACACTTACAAAGTGCCTTCCAGAAAAACTCATCAAGGACAGAGGAGCTGCCACAGACATCAGGAAAAAGGCAATAAAAAAGTCAAAAGGGATGCTTGAGTAGCCTGCTTAGTTCTGGAAACAAAGGCTGTGCTACCCTGCCATATAACTGATGCATGGGATGTAGAAATGGGGACCACAGCCAAGTTATCTTTGCTCAGGTGTCATTTGTGAAAGATCAAAGATGGATCCAGACATCTTGTAATAGCAAGAAGGAACAGGAAAGAATAGCAACTGTTGCCCAACTGCCAAGAAAGAGGCAAAGGCATCACAGAGGAAGGTGCTGGAGTCAAACAGAGATGACAAGAATTCATGTTTTCATTTTGAGAGAAGTCAGCACTGAAGGATGACAACACAGCTGGGGGATGTCAGCTAAAGAGCTGACTGTGAGCTCTCAGGAATGGGAGAGCTGAGATCAACCCTCGCTGGTGTGAAAATCTCTTGGGGACAGTTCTGACAAAGACATGGGATACCTATGCATTTTCTGGGATTATTGAAGGAGAAAGCCTTGTGAAGGGCTAGGATCTGAGCAGAGCTAGAAGCAGGTGTTCACGCTTGGGAAGTTCAGGAGATTGACCTCACTGTTAATCAGAATACCAGCTGCAAAATGAACTCGCATACATTCACTGCCCCAGGAATGACCCTATTCCAATCCAGAAAATGTTCCCTCCTTATTTCAGGCTTTACATTACCTCTTAGTCCTGGGCCTCTCCTGAATGCACTTGGGTATTCATGCTTGGGTCCATTATGAACAAAGGTTGTTAAACCTTGTCATGTACAATATGTCTAGCTGGAGTTTCCTTAGGCCCCCAGAGAAGGAAAAAAGGGGCCTCCATGACACTTCTCCTTGGCAATAGCACAAATAGCCTCTGCCTCTGGGCCTGGTCTGTAAGAAGGGCATTTTCCAAAACCAGATCACATGTAACTTTCTATGACCTTGTAGCCTTTAGTTTTCTAACTTTAGTTTTATGAATGAATATCTATTAAAAGCAGGGGGTAAATGTTTTTTCTTTGTCCCTCTTTCAGTTTACAAATTTGTCTTCTCCTATAGCCAGCTGTTAAAAGATTGGTTCTGCCCCTGCTTTCACCTTTCCTGTTTTATCAGCTGAGACGTCAAACTGAGGGCCTGACCACTTGGTGTTAAAGATCCATGGCTCTTTTTGTAAGGCGGTGGCCTGGCCAACTCTAGAGTCTAAATGGTGCCTTGTCTTACAGTTTGAGTTAGCCTCTCACACCCTA